GTGAAATATGATGTTGATGTTTGCCAAGTTAATTGTTAGACTGTCAAGTTGAATGTTGTGATCAACTTTGATTTTTGGCGGGGATGGAACTCCATAAATGTCTCCATTTCTGGTAACAACGCAGGCATGCAAAATAGCTTGTTCTCTGACAGAAACCGAATGTGCGAAAAAAACGCGCGCTAACAAATGGAAACGCATACGAAATCAAATTACACATTTTTGGTCTGGCGCTATCGACACCGAAAGAACGAAATCTGGAATGACATGATTGCCTTCTGGTCTTTTCTGACCTTTGACGTGGCATGCCTTTGTATTCCCTTCTAAATCCCAAAGTTCAGAGTTAGCATCCAGGCCGCGTCATTCCGTCATTCCGTCCGAGAGATTTTATCCAAATGGCTTACGGCAAGCCTTTTAACCACCACTCTTGGTTATGGCTGCTCTTGAACCATATTATTTTGAGCCAAACATGCTCCAAACTCCGAAATGAAAGCATTGAAGATAGTGAAGTGGATAATCGCTTGGAAAAAATAGATTTTGCTGACCTTGTAAAGGACGCCAAGTCAGTCGCAGGTTTGTCTCCTACCCACCAATTTCGATTCGGACTGAATGACGTCGCATAAACACGGCCTAGCTGCCAAGACAGTTTCAAAATGGCGGCCTTCAAAGTCGCTTCTTTCGAGACGAATTTCGTCAGGATAGCGGGCACTTCAGAGGCTTAAACTTCGGTGAGTGGAAAAGCTGAGTGTTTACTTGCTATAGGCGAAGACAAAAAAGTAGGCTTTTTGGAGTGACCTTCTCCTTTAAGGTGGCTCTGAACCCTATGTACAGACTTTTTTTAAAACTTTGCCAAAACTCTCGTCTTATCGTGCTTATCAAAATTTGATAACGACCCATCAAAATCTGAGTGCTGGAAACTGTTTCGAGCCGCCTTTAGGCTCTCTCAGGTTATCAATGATTTTTTGCTAGAAGGTGCAAGGAGTTCACACACTCTGCATTTACGATAATTCTCTCTAAATTTTGAAATTATTTTGAAATTATGCTGAAATTTTCGCACCAACCGGTAGGGTCTGAGTTTATAACTGAAAGCTCTTCTAGATTTGAAATCAGCCCGCAAACCATCCCAAGGGTGCACTCTGCACTAAAAAACGGCTTTTCTTGGAAGCCGTGTCTAAAAATTACTTATATAACTAGGTCATCAGTTAATAATTAGTAGACATATTTCACATAATTAATGGGCATAATGCAACGTAGGTACAGTGGAACAGTGACTCAGTGGAACAGAGACAAAGTGGAACAAAGGCACAGTGGAACAGAGGCACAGTAGAACAGTGGCACAGTGGAACAGAGACACAGTGGAACAGAGACACAGTGGAACAGAGGCACAGTGGAACAGTGGCACGATGGAGCAGCGAAACAGTCGCACAGTGGAACAGTGGAACAGTGGAACAGTGACTCAGTGGTACAGTGGAAAAGAGGCACAGTGGAACAGCAGCACAGTGAAACAGGCATAGTGGAACAGACGCACAGTGGAACAAAAACAGTGGAACATTGGCACAGTGGAACAGAGACACAGTGGAACAGAAGTACAGTGGAACAGCGGCACAGTGGAACAGAGGCAGAGAGGAACAGAGGCACAGTGGAACGTGGAAAATGGCACAGTGGACCAGAGGCACAGTGGACCAGAGACACAGTGGAACCTTGGCACAGTGGAACAGAGACACAGTGAAACAGAAGTACAGTAGAACAGCGGCACAGTGGAACAGAGGCACAGTGGAACAATGGCACAGTGGAACAGAGGCACAGTGGAACAATGGCACAGTGGAACAGAGGCACAGTGGACCAGAGGCACAGTGGACCAGAGACACTGAGGAACCTTGGCACAGTGGAACAGAGACACAGTGGAACAGAGACACGGTGGAACAGTGGCAGAGTGGAAAAGAGGCACAGTGGCACAGTGGAACAGAGGAACAGAGGCACAGTGGAACAGAGACACAGTGGAACAGAGGCTGAGTGGTACAGTGGAACAGAGGCACAGTGGAACAGAGACAATGGAACAGAGACACAGTGGAACAGAGACACAGTGGCACAGTGGAAGAGAGACACAGTGGAACAGAGACACAGTGGCACAGTGGAAGAGAGGCACAGTGGCACAGTGGAACAGAGGCACAGTGGAACAGAGGCACAGTGGAACAGAGACACAGTAGAACAGAGGCTCAGTGGCACAGTGGAACAGAGGCACAGTGGAACAGAGACAATGGAACAGAGACACAGTGGAACAGAGACTCAGTGGCACAGTGGAAGAGAGAAACAGTGGAACAGAGACACAGTGGCACAGCGGAAGAGAGGCACAGTGGAACAGAGGCACAGTGGCACAGTGGAAGAGAGGCACAGTGGAAGAGAGGCACAGTGGCACAGAGGCACAGTGGCACAGTGGAATAGAGGCACAGTGGAACAGAGGCACAGTGGAACAGAGACATAGTGGCACAGTGGAACAGTGGCACAATGGAACAGAGACACAGTGGAACAGAGACACAGTGGAACAGAAATACAGTGGAACAGCGGCACAGTGGAACAGAGGCAGAGTGCAACAGAGGCACAGTGGAACAGTGAAACAATGCACAGTGGACCAGAGGCACAGTGGAACATTAGCACAGTGAAACAGATGCACAATGGAACATTGGCACAGTGGAATTGAGGCACAGTGGACCAGAGGCATAGTGGAACAGTGGCACAGTGGAACATTGGCACAGTGGAACTGAGACACAGTGGAACATCGGCACAGTGGACCAGAGACCCAGTGGAACATTGGCACAGTGGACCAGAGGCACAGTGGAACAGTGACTCAGTGGAACATTGGCACAGTGGAACAGTGACTCAGTTGCTCAGTGGAACGGAGGCACAGTGGAACAGTGGAACAATGGCACAGTGGAACAGAGACACGGTGGAACATTGGCACAGTGGAACAGAGGCTCAGTGGGCCAGAGGCACAGTGGAACAGTGGTACAGTGGAACATTGGCACAGTGGAACATTGGCACAGTGGAACAGAGGCACAGTGGAACATTGGCGCAGTGGAACAGAAACACAATGGAACAGAAACACAATGGAACAGAGACACAGTGAACTTTGGCACAGTGGACCAGAGGCACAGTGGAACAGTGACTCAGTGGAGCATTGGCAGAGTGGAACAGTGACTCAGTTGCTCAGGGCAACAGAGGCACAGTGGAACAGTGGAACAATGGCACAGTGGCACAAAGACACAGTGGAGCAGAAGCACAGTGGAACAGCGGCACTGAGGCACAGTGGAACAGAGGCTCAGTGGAACAGTTACTCAGTGGAACAGAGACACAGTGGCTCAGTGGAACAGAGGCACAGTGGAACAGTGGCACAGTGGAACAGAGGCACAGTGGAACAGTGGCACAATGGAACAGAGGTACAGTGGAACAGTGGCACAGTGGAACAGAGGCACAATGGAACAGCGGCGCAGTGGAACAGAGCCACAGTGGAACTGAGGCACAGTGGAACAGTGGTACAGTGGAATAGAGGCACAGTGGAACAGAGACACAGTGGCACAGAAAACCACTGGTCACAACACAAAATGGGATCATTTTGACATCTTAGCGTCTGGCAAAACTGACTTTCATTGCAAAATTAAAGAGAGTGTTCATTTAAGAGCTAAAGCCTTCCCTTAATGTCAATGTCAGTAGTGAGAAGTAGCTGTTACTCCTCATGATGTGTAGACAGGCTAACGTACTGCTGCAGATCATTTTTTTCAGTCTAGGTTCCAGATCTCCAATATTTACGATACACTGTATGCAGTTATCAAAAAAAATTGTAACGGTCACTTTTGAGAAGGTGTGTTGACTAACATACGAAACGTCAAGTTCTGTATTAAAACGCGTTGGAATACAATTTTATCTATTTAGCATACATGTTGTTTAAGTTGGAAAAGTTTGAAGTCAGCGCGGGCACTTTAAGTACCACAACCCCACCCCCTCCCCGGCCAGTGATTGAACATGGACTCAAGATAAGTTTAAAATTGTGTCATTTTCGATGTTTTTATTTGGTAATTACACAGGACGCTCTTTATTGCCTGTCAAATCTGATGGAGTTTTCAGTTATAAGTTCAGGCCCTAAATGGTGCTTATATAATTTTATTGGCTTTTGTGGATGAGCTCCATTGGGTCATAACAAACGTGGAATCACAGTAAAAGGTACAATAGGATGCGTGGCTTCCAAGTCAATAGCCGTCATAAGACACTCGCTGGCAGCCTCGTGCTCGTTTTGTGCTTCCAATACCACGCCCAACACGTGCCTGAAATGAATTACACAGCAAGAAGATTTACAGAAGTCTGTCTACTCTTCTCCGACTACGTGCGTCTGAGGTAAGCACTTCACTGACTTTAGAAACTTGTAGAGACCCCCTGAGAGAGTTCCTAAGCAAGATTCTTATCAGCACCCTAGTAAGTGTATTTCACATGGCGATGACAGGTTTCCCCACCCAACGCCGTACGCATGTTTTTCACCCATAAGGTATGTACAGAGGGGCTGTGACGTGAATGTGAATTTATTACAAACGGATTCGTCTAGCGTTTTTTTTAATGCTTCTGAGTACAGGTAAAGTTTCGAGACAATCATGGATTAGCGAGTACCGGGTGAGTAGGCTAACAGATATACAGAACAAGCAAACAAACAAACAAACAAACAAAGAAACAAACAAAAAAAGAAACAAAAAAGAATAAATGTAGAGACCGAAAACTGAATGAAAAATACTAACCAAGCCTCAAATGCTGTTGGGTCAATGTTGATGGCTTCGCGGAGAACTTTCTCAGCCATGACAAGATTTCCGAGCTTATGATAAACTGCACCCTAAGGAAAGCGATTTAATATGTTGTAAGTTTGGGATTTTGTAGCTCAGTGGGTCAACAGTGTAGCACTTGATCTCCGTTTAGTGGGTCAAAAGTTCTTGTGCTTAACTCCTGAATTCTACAGAGCATCGTTTTGTTAGGTTTGTCTTACTGGAAGATTTAAGTAAATCCATGATCGTAAATCTGAATTCATCCTACTTAAATTTAGCCGGCTGAGTGGCCACTCCCTAGTTCGTCTGTTCCCAATGCCCATTCCATGGAAATTAACATCTGACGTCTTCATGACGTCATTTATAGCAATTTCCAAATTGGCACAAGCCAGTGTCGACCAACTTGAACCTTGTTTGACGAGTGTCACGAGCACGACCGACAAGCAACTCGGCTACATTCGTTTTTGGTCGTTATTACGATCGATTACAGTTTCAAAGTCAGTCGTTCGTCTCCGCTTGAGCCTGCAGGTTCGTAGAATGTTCAAAACTGCTCTTAAGTTTCTTGTACATATCTTACCAAGCGTTGCAAGCTGGGCACATGGCTGGGGTTTATAGAAACCGCATTGTCAAAGCAGTTCTTGGCATCTGTAAGGTTTTCTCGGACTTCGAAAATGCGGCCACGCTACAAAGAAAACAAGAAAGAAAAAAGTTTCCAGGGTCAGTAAAGTAGTAACAAAGACTACATACAGGTTGGTAACAGTTCCCTCAGGGACAAGTTGTTCGGGTTTCGTCACAATTTGGCAGCGCTTCGTAAAAGTGATTGCATAGCAACTAATCAAGTGTTGCCAGACATTGGCTGGCTTCCATCAATAGTGACTTCCAGCTGTCACTTTCGAGATCTCAGAAGCTGGCGTGACAATGCCGCGTGATTCAAACTAAAGCGAACACTGATTCCTCGCTTCACTCACTACAAGCTCCCAAATATGCTAAAACTTGAAAACGAGCGTGTATCTTTACTTCAAATGCTCTTAACAGTCGGTGAATCAATCACTGATCAAAATAATGGTAGATCACTTCCACACGACCTCTGAAAATATCAACAGAACATTTATTTACATGTAAAGATTTCCAGTCCAAGCATTACTTCTCACCTTACCAACGTTCCAATTACGATAAAAAAACGCACACACTAACGATAAAATATTCGCTGTCCTTTCATTCGCACCTGGAATAGTACATCCGGGGACAAAGGAAATATCAAGTGAGCCTCCTGTACACAGGCGTGTGCTTCAGCGTCCTTCTCCATGGAGATATAGACGTCAGCTGTTAAAAAGAAGATTAAATCATCAAAAAATCCAGAAAATCATCATCTACTAAGTAAGGATTTCAACACTTCACAAGGAAAACAACAACAGCATGACACGAAATAAAACATGTTTAAGACTACAAGTGAATATATCAAAGATCATATACTTGAACTGCGGAGAAAGATATGAAGGCATGATTGATTATCGCAGTTATATGCACAACTTAAGCAGTTTCGAAATAAAATTCTGGAAAAAATTCAGCCTTGAATGGGATTCGAACCCATGATCTGCGATACCGCTGCAGTGCTCTACCAACTGAGCTATCAAAAGATCATATATTTGAACTGCGGAGAAAGATATGAAGATATGATTGATTATCGCAGTTATATACACAACTTAAGCAGTTGTGAAATTAACTGATAGTATAGATGGTACAGCATTGCACCGGTATCACCTGGGACAATTTTCTGACATCCCCTCCCCTGTATATTTGAAACGCTTTCTTGGAGAGAAGATGCGAAAACTCAAGAGTTGCGTTTCTATCTCTTTGGCTACCTTAAGATTTGCAATTCTAGTAATAGTCCGGACATACCAATAGCAAGCCAGAGCTTGGCTTGTAAGGCTAGAACAGCAGGGACACTGAGTTTAACAGAAGTTGACGCTGCCTCATCAGACAATGCTTGCTCAAGGCGCACTGAAGCCGCGATAGAGCCTGCTCCGTCTGCTGCGGTGAAGAACATACAATGGTTAATTAGCTACACATGTTTATAGCCTATGGGTGTTTCTAGAAATTATCGGTATTCCTGACCCACGATTTTCCATACTCGATTTGTTTGAAAATTAATATCATGGGTGACAAATTACTCCTTAATTTTGGCGCGAAATTCCAGCGTTAATTTATAATTTCTGATGTGAAATTAAAAAAAATTGCTATGGCAACGTTTGGATCGAAATTTCTCGATACAATGAACAAGCCAAAAACCCAAGACTGTTCGCGTAATCAGTCGCCCATGATATTAAAAGGTAATCAAATGGTGACGAGTGAAATTAGGAAATAATTTCACGTAAGTTTTGGCAAATTTCCAATAGTTTTCCGCAGCTTTAAAGTAAATAGGCGTTTAAAACTTTCTGTGATCTTACCATAATTATTTCAAAACAAAAAGAGTTCAACAACAGCATACGGTTTTTGAGCTGCGATACCCTTTGGGGTAGTACATTTCTATGTAACTTTAATATAGGGAGGAGACCCTCACCAAACCCTCCCCTCCAAGGCCGTAGCCAAAAAGACAAAATTATGACTGAGCCAAAGTCCATGGTTTAACTCCTAAGTATTTAGGGTGTTTATGATGACTATAAACAACAAAATCGGAAAAAAAATGACTGACGCAAGTACCCTGGTTTGTCTGCTACTAGCTATGCCCCTGCCCTTCCCTACAAGGGTGATTACACAAAGATTATCCGAAGTATTATCAAGAAGAATTGCAATGTGCCAACTGGTCTGCCTCCCGCCGGTTGTGATTTTTAAGCCTATTACGTTTAGTTGATATATTTGTTTCCTTCATTTAAGGTGGCATGCCTGTGAACTAGCTAGGTGTAGCTAAGCGCATTGACCACTATAAACAACATTTGAACACTTTTTTTTTGTAATTGAACACCGAGGCGTTAACAGATTGATTTTTCGAACAGTTACAGAGAATCCCGATATTTAAATAAACACGTACCAGAATCCTTGTCGCTGCTGAACTCTGTCAGCGGTATCTGCTTCAAACTTCGGGTGTCCGTGATAACTTTGTCCAGTAATCCTGAGCCAGCTCTTTGAAGCTCGGAGGATCTGCGGTGGAAAAAAAAAACACTGAAAAAATCACTACGAACAACAATAAGAGACAGAGGTGTTCAGACACTTCACTGTAGAATTCTACTTTCCAGCACCATGGAAATATTTTTCCTCCTTCCCCAACTAAACAACGCTGATTTTTCTCTTTCTCACACTGCGCTGACCACAGGACCAACGCAACAGTGAATTGGCGGGGGGTATGACGGACTTTCTACTTACAAAGAGTAATTAAGAGTCCCTGTCCATAAATATGGAAAATAACTCGGCAAGGGTCGAAAATTCGATTTCGCTCATATTTTCATGGTAGATAGGCTAGGGCATG